TATATATCCAATTTCCGGGCGTAGTTAAGGCTTTCCAGTATGTTTCTCGTAGGTTTTGTAATACTATGTTGCAATATTCCATTTCTATATTCTTATTTAGTAAGAGTTGAATATTACAACTTGTCGCTTGCCGTATCTTTTTCAAAGGAAATATAGCTAGGCAGATAAATACGGTGCTGGACGATATACATTCTCGCAGTTCCCCTTCTCGAAACTCGTAGAAGCTATCGGTATCCTCGCTTATTCCAATATGTTCTGCGTCAGATTTAATTATTGCGAATTTTGTTTCGTCAAATGCTTGTTTAGCAGGTAATGGTACGGCTCTATACATTTTATATATTCCAGGAATCAATAATGGAATATGCAGAATATAAATCAATCGATTTCCGGAATAGGCAATTCGTAAGTTGGATATTTTTATAAGTTGATCCATTCCGATTTCGTCAGTACTTACCGGAAATTCTGCATGAGGATTCTGTTCTTTTATTAACTTACAATTTTCTATTAATTGTTGCGGTGAAATTAAACGGGGGTGGATGAATCCCTGCTTTCCGAATAATATTCCATCGATCAGAATATTTAAATCTATTTCATGTTGTAATATTTCCGTATCCAGTTTTGTCATAACTTCCCAAAAATATCGATGCCTTTGATTTAACATCGCTTTAATTTCTATTGCGCTAAGCTGCTTTCTTATCTCCCATGTGGCGTTGTACAGTTCCCCGAAACGCGCTCGCGTTGCTACAGTTTGATTCACGAGTAGCAGAGCGAGATCGTTAGTTTTATTTTCTACATGCATTATTGCATTACGCATTGCATATTCGTCTTCAATGGTTAAAGTTCCGAATAATATCTTGCTAAGTTGTCCAACAAATTCCAAGGGAGCTCGTTTTGTGCGGGATTCTCCTATGAGTTCGCGTATATGATCTTGATACTGCTTTATCTTATTCAATTTGGCAATTAATGAAGTCAATCGTGGTCGTATTTCACAATGTGAATTGTGATCACCACATTGTTGTAATATTGAGTCCATTTGCTGTTCGAGTTTGGCCGTTGCACCTTTAATATCGCGCAAGTCGATGTAGATTATCATCTTCCAAGAATTTTCGGACGTACGCATTTCTCCAACGGCCTCGAAAAATATTCCAGGATTATCTTTTAAACCAGTAATTGTGTATTCTTTTTCCTTCATCCCTGATCTGCAATCCGAGCAGGTTTAGTTCGGTCTACATGTACGATTTTAATTTTATTTGGTAGAATTAATATTTTAATATTATTATTTTCTAGGATTTCCACAATTTCATACGGTCCTGTATATTCGTCATCGAACTTGTTTTTCTTTTTAGGTTTTAATAAATATATAAAATCTCCTACTTTATACGTTTGTGTTTTTAATTTCTTATCATAATAGTGTTTATAACGTGTTTTGGCTAACCCTAAATTTGACACAGCTAGTTTTCTTAGATCAGTTAATTTATCAATAAGTTCGTTCACGTAATCGTCATACGTTTCTATCGGATTTTCTGTCTTTATTTCAGATGGCAATCGTGCGGCTTTGCCAAATACTAATTCATACGGTGTAAATTTTGTTCCCTCCTGTACGCTAGTATTATATGAGAACATAGCATGCTCGAGCCAATTATCCCAATCGTGTTCATCAGTTATGTAATGCTTCAAATATTCGGTCAATACATGGTGGCTTCTTTCTAACGAGCCATTGGATTGAGGATGGAAAGCAGTTGTGCAATATTGTTTTATTTTAAAATATTTTGCAAATTTCTTCATCATTGAACTAGTAAAATTTGAACCTTGATCCATCAAAATTGCTTTGGGACTTCCAAATTGACAAATAAATCTACGCGTGAATGCTTTTGCTATTTCCTCTGAGTTCGCTTGCACAAGAGGTACGGCAACTGAATATTTTGTTAATTGATCCTGAATCGTTAAAATATATTCATTACCATTATCAGTAATAGGCAAAGGCCCTAATATATCCATAGCAACTTTATCAAATGCGTCTACAGGAGTGTCGGTTATAATCATCGGTTGTTTAGTCTTCTCGCGTACTAATTTTTTCTTTTGGCAACTACTACAGGTTTGAATAAATTTTTCAACTTGACTTTTCATATTTTCCCAAAAATATTTATGACGTATCCGCGCCATTGTTTTTGCGATTTCCTTATGTCCTCCGACACTGGATTCGTGGGACTCACGTATGATACGCGGTCTATCCTTGAGCTCGGGTATGCACACTTGGGCCTTACATACAGTAATTTGAATGTCTGTATTTAAAAATGTAAGTCTTATAATGCATCGTATTCTGAACCATGGTATTTTTATATCGCTATTGTTTTCAGATATGCTCGCATGTGAAATATTTAAACGCATCATT